GTTTAATGCAGGCTCCAGGACTGTGGCTGGATCCCACATCCAGCCCCTCACTTCTCCTTTTCAGCACCAAAGCCCTTTTCACTTTTGTTTCACTTCGGTTTTACCTCCCCTCCGCCTGAGACCCGGCGAGGTATTTGCTTCAGGGAAACTGTCTGCAGCAAGCGTGTTTGAACAGCTTCTCTCCAGGGCCAGGTATTCGGTTTCTTTATATAAAAAAACCCCAACCCTAAGCAAACATATAGGTGCTGGTCACCTTATGGGGAGGTCTCATGTTCAGAGATACCTGATCGTCTCCTTCCTCCTTGGCACCTGCATACTGAACTGGTGGCTTTGCTGGAAGCAGCTGGGAGAGGCGGGGGGGTTATTCGGGGGGGATTTCATGCATGAAAGCAAGAGCTGAGGTAGCTGCTGAGCTTCAAGGCAGCTTGGGATGAAAGAGAAACTGAAATCTCATGGAAAAACACTAGAGGGGGAAAACTGTTCTTGCTTGAAAAGACTTGGTGAAGATGCCAAGCGGCTCCTGTATGGGTCTTCCTTTGCCCTGCATCGCTGCGTGCCTGCAGCATCCTTCCCCGTGTCTCTGTCCTTGGGAGTCTTGTCATTTGGGAGGGGCAAAACTCTGGAGAGAAGTGTTTCGCATGGCGGGAGATGACCAGCCATGCTTTCGGGGAGGAGTGGAGCCCTTGGGCTCCCTAGGAGCCTCCCCACTGCCTGTCCTGCCACAGCTGCTCTGGGGGAGTGAGGCGTCAGGGTACCCCAATGTTCCAAGAGACCTGCAGAGGGGCTTGGCCCTGAGCCCTGCTCTCTGCTTTGGGGGGGAAATGTGCCTGCTTTTCGCATGTGAAAATGCAATGTGGGATCAGCTGGCTCCACTGAAGCGTGTGCTTCGGTCAGAGGGAGGTGTGGGAGAAGGTGGATGGGAGCAGACCCAGAGGAAAATGAGTCCCTGAGCAACTGAACCAAGCGCTCGGCAAGCGACTGCTGCCACTGTGACGGAGGCAGCTGCTGAGCCAGGGGGATGCTGCAGGGGGCTCGCACCACTCAAACTCTCCTCCCTGCCCTGTGTTGGCTGCAGGCTCGACGTCTTGCGCCGTGTCTCAGTTTCTCCTTTGGCAAATGGGGGTTTGCTTTTCCCTAAAGCCATCCCTGGGCTGAGGCCATGCCCGATCAAGCATACATGTGTGTGCTGGGCCAGCTCCTTCCCCAGCCTGCTTGCTCGTGTGGTGCCGGGGTAGCGTCTGACTCAGTGCTCTGCGTTTCAGGAGGGTTTTGCTGCCAGCCCTGTCCTGGGGGAGCCTGTCCAGAGGATCGGCTGTGCCGGCCCAGCAGCAGCGGCCTGGGCGGCTGCCCTCGCCGGGGAGCAGGAAGATGAGCGGAGGCACAGCCCATCTCCTCACGGCTCTCTTTGTGGCGGCGGCAGCGGCAATGGGGTACCCGTCACGGCGCTCTGCCACTGACCTAGATGCCACCCCCAGGACAACGGTCACCTTTGATGGTAAGGGGGTGCGGGTGGTGGTGGTGAGGTTTGGGATCTTCCCGGCGCTGGGTTTGGTGCATCGTGACCGCGTCCAGCCTTCACCAGCCCCAGCTGTGGAGTGGGTGTCCGAGCACTGGGGCCGGGGTGGCTGCAGGGAGGCCGCCAGTTCTCTGGGCCTCAGAAGTCAGAAACTGTCTCATGTTGGGTGCCTGGAGTCAACACACCCCGAGGATGGAGCCGGGCAAAGGCTTTCCTGGGTCTGCCTAGCCTGGTGGCATCTCCCAGACAGCTGGGGGGGACAGCCCCCAGCCCTGCCCAGTAGCCCTTGGAGGGTGTTCTGAGCCGGGCATCACACCCGGGCTGGGCTCTTGTGGCCCAAATAGTTGCCAGGGAGCTTGCTTCTGCAATTTTCTGTAATTGCTGCTGGCCTCTTGGCCTCCAGCCTGTGTGGTGTCAGCCAGCCCCACGGTGTCATTGTGTCTCAGGTGGCCACGCTGCTTTGTTGACCTCATTAGTGAAGCCCAGCTCAGCGGTGGATGGTGGAGAGGGTTTCCTCTGGAGCTGAGGCACCCCTTTCTCCCCAAGCAATGCCTCCTTTTGGGGCTGTCATTCCCTACCAGCTGCCTCTAGGGTCCCAAGCCCCATGGGACTTTTTCCTGTGGCAGGAGGGTCTGAGCCTGGCTTGGGGTTCCCTCTGGCCAGGGCTGAGACCCACCCTGTGCTTCTCAGCACCCCAAATTGGATGATTTCTCTGGCTCAGTGGGCAAGGAGTGCCCAGCCTTGGTGCAGGCGCCCTCCCCTTGCCCGGCAGTTTTGGTTCAGGTTTTTTGCATCCTTCCTTTTGGGCTGGCTGGGTTTGGTTTGGAGCTGGGGTCGCTGCTGGAGTGTTTTCGCTTCCTCCAGCAGTTCCCCAAACAGCGTGACGGGTCTGTGCTGGGCAGCCCCCACCCCTGAGCTGCTGTTTTAATTAGTGGGGAGAAATTTCCCCTGTGAGCCTGAGCCCAATTAGTGCCTTTCACCTCCTACCAAGCCTCCCCGCTTCCTTCCCTCCTGCCGTAACTGCTGGCACCCGGCGCCATTTGCCTGACGACCTCGGTGGGTGCCTTCCCACCTGCCCCCGTACGTCCCCAGCCTCTGTCTTTTCCCGGGAGCTCCTGCTGTGCCTGCCCTGGTGTCCCCCCTCAGCCCCCCGTTCCCTTTGCAGAGCTTTCGGGCGTCCGGTGCTTCAGCACACGCACCCTCAACTACAGCACGCTGCTGCTGGAGGACAGCTGGGGCATCCTCTACGTGGGCGCCAGGGGAGCCATCTTCGCCCTCAACTCCAGTGACGTGGCCGACGGCTCCCACCGCACGGTGAGCCCCGGGACCAGCTGGTTGTCCTCGTATGTGCCTGGTCCCTGCCCGAATCGTGGCCACCCTGTCCCTGCTCATCCTCCTACTCACCATCTCAGGTCTTGCCTGGAGGTGCTGTCCCCAGGTCTGTCCCCTAGTCCCCTGCAGACCCCTGGTCCTTCTTCCCAGCCAGGCAGTGTGGGCACAGCCGTGGGAAATGTCCCCAAGCTCAGAGCTGCCTGCTTCAGAGACACCCTGGCAGGACAAGGGGCAGGGGGGGGAGTGCACCCCTTTGCTCACCTGGGAAGGACACCCCAAAATCCTGCAGGCTCCTGTGGGTGCTCTGGGGTTTCTGCCTGCAGGTCAGGGTGTGGGACCGCTCTCACCCCAGGCAGGGGGGATGTGGGCAGGGTGCCATCCTGTGCTCTGAGCAGCTATCCCTTCTCTCAATAAAAGGGGGGATTTTAGCATCTCTGAGGGCTCTGGCAGAGGCTGGAGCCTGCAGTGACGGGGGGACCATGCAGTGATGGGGGGTCACGCAGTGGCAGTCCCTCTTCCCCTTGCAGATCCATTGGGAAGCCTCCCTGGAGAAGCAGATGGACTGCCTGCAGAAGGGCAAAAACAACAAGGTAGAACCAGTGGGTGGGTGCCAGGGGGTGCGCTGCTGCTTTCCCCAGCGTGTAACGGCTGTCCTCCCCCTCCGCAGACCGAGTGCTTCAACCACGTGCGGTTTCTGCAGAGGCTGAACAGCACCCACCTCTACGCCTGCGGGACCTATGCCTTCCACCCGCTCTGCGCCGCCATCGTGAGTACTGCTCGGCCCCACAGCTGTCACCTGTCCCCTGCCACCATGTCACCCCGGAATGGTGCAGCCCCCATCCCTCTCCCACCATCTCCACCTGCAGCCCCAGTCTTTTTCTACCCTGTCCCAGCCCCTCCCTGTCTCAGCAGGGAGGTGAGTGACCCCCAGGCTGGGATGGGTCGGTTTGGGGACACAGCCACCGTGACACAGATGCCCAAAGTCCCCACCCTAGTGCTAGAGTTGGACTCTGACCCCATAGTGAGATGGCTCGGGGTGGATCAGTGCTGTGGAGGGGGACACGTGGGCGCAGCAGGGCCGGTGGGACGTGCCAGCACTGGAGCTGGTCCTCAGCCCCTGCTCTTGCAGGGTCCCTTCCCAAAGCAGGAGCTGCAGACTGGCTGGTGGCCAGTGGCAAGTGTGGCCAGAGAGGGTGATGGTGGCAGAGAGGGTGACGGTGCCAGGCCTGACTCAGCGGCCCCTCCCCAGGGATTTCCGGGGCCAGGCCAGGGGTCCCTGCGTGGCCGTGACTCACGGCAGGG